AAAAACTCAAACATTTTATTTTCATTTAGAAAATATTTAGTTTTTGTTTAATTATTCATAACAAATATACAGAAAAGTGCGTGTTCGCGTGTTTACTCGCACCAGAGCCGGAACCTTTCTTACTAACAGCCGTTTTTTTTTACCGGCGCTTTTAAATTGACAGTACCAGACACGGACCAACGGCAGAAATAGATCCGACTGTCGCGGATTTGCTACGTTAACGGATTAAAATCCAAGTCTTTGCTGAAACACTTTGCAGACATAATATAAATAACAGGCAGCTGCTCTCCGTACGCTTCTCCGCGTTTCTCACGGAGATCCGCGGCTCCCGTCGTTTGAGACGCTATAAACAATAATAACAATGGCTTCTGGTTCGCCGTCGTCCTCTCCGGACACCGCGACGGGCTCAGGTACGGATCCAGCCCGGCCCGACACAGGAGAGCCCCTCGGTGGAGCAGGCTCGGACTCGGATTCGGACTTGGGTTTGAGTAAATTTGACTGCAGCGCCATGGAGGTGGGGGACCGGCTGGAGGGAGAAGAGCTGGAGCGCGAGTTCGAGTCTGCCGCTGACCGCGTAAAAGACTTGATACAGACGGCCAGCAGGGACCAGCTGCTGTACCTGTACGCTCGCTACAAACAGGTGATTGTACGATTAAATGTCACTGTGCGTGTGTCGGCCACACTCGAGCTTTCAAGTAGTTGCACCACGCTGCTTTAGACGGGACACCCCTCCACACGCCATGAATCTCAGCATTTATGTGACTCCTCTGGTATTTAATCGAGTCAGGCTCACAGCTGCAGGCGACATTAAATCAGATATGTAATGTGATTTTGTATCTATAGGTCAAAGTGGGGAAGTGCAATACACCAAAACCTGGTTTCTTTGACTTTGAAGGACAAAGAAAATGGTAAGTAGCCCAGATTTCACTTTGCACATATTTTAAAGCCTTATAGGTCGAGTAAGTCAATTCAATTCACTTTTACTTAAATGGCTCCAGTCGCCTCATTGTAAGGTAAAGAACCTTCAATAATAAAAAGAAAACTCCAACAATCAGACAACCCCCTACGAACGAGCACTTGGCAACACTGGAAAGGAGAAACTCCCTTTTAAACAGGAAGAAACTTCTGGCAGAACCAGGCTCAGGGATCCACGTTCAGATGCTTGATGAAGAAAAATGTTTCTGCTACTTAAAATAAACCACTCTTCACAAACAGCCCGTCCTCTTGCAAAGTATTAAAATGATTCCCCCAAAGTCAGTGAATCTAATATTTCTATTTTCATGTTTTAGTTCACGAAGTGTGAAAATCTTTAACAGTGATTACTTTGGTAATTGTGATGTCATAACAGGCAAGCCTGGAAGCAGCTTGGAGACATGGATCAGGAACAAGCAATGCAAGAGTATATTTCCTGTGTCAACATCTTAGACCCTGAAGGCAGCACGAAGGTAATTCCTGAGAATTTATTTTTAATCCACATTTTGATTCTAAACCGATGCAGAGGTGGGTTAATGTTCTTAAGGGGCCATACAAGAAACTGGGACTGTTGTGGAGGGTCACACCAGTGAGTTTATAAAGAGATCAAATTAACATTTTTATTACAATGGATCTTATGATAACATAGATTATAAAACATTAATTATACATTTATAACAGTTCGTTTGCTTTCAGCTCAGCCTTTACTGCAACAGTTTTCTTCGTAGTAATAATTTGATTTTAAGATGGTCCTTTTGTAGAGAATGTTGAATGTCAGTGTTAGTGTTGACATTCATCATGCTCCTTATGACTTTTATGGTCTTGTTTTTGAATATATGTAGAAAGAGTTTCTGGTTCTCGTCACTTTACACATTTTCTGATTATAGACTAATGTCTGTAATTTCTCAGTCATCCAGGTCACGGTAGTCTGAAGTGTTTGAAAAGAAGGTAACTGAACTCTTTGCTTCTTGAAGATGTTTCTCCTCCCATCCAAGAGGCTTCTTCTGTTCTAAAACCAGAGATTTGAGAGTTTCAGGTGTCTGACCTCTAGAAGAGGCTGCCCTCTTGGAGGTGGTAGTGATCCCTTGAGCCCAGGTGTGGAAAAAAAGGCGTGGGTCATTGTCACCAGGGGTCAGTCACAGTGGGCATAGATGGGCTCCTGTACTCCTTTCTCAAATAATCTGTGAAAAATCTGAACATTGGCATCATTGAAGAGTGTCCTTTCCCCTTTAAGAGAAGGTGGACAGCCGCGTCTTGTCCTTATGAGGTGGCTTTCTTGTTGTGCCATGCGTCTGTGGAGTGTTGCTTCTCTTATGGTCCGAGCACTCCTCACATGGTACACTACACTGTTTAGCTTGAGTTCTGGGGTGAACCAGTTTTTGTCTGAGGGTGTTGCTGGATCAGACGTGCACTGTGATGTTTACGCATAGAGAAAATTCTGAGTTACCACATAAGGAATGACAGTGTCATTCTGTTTCTTCCTGGTTCTTGTCAATTTCTGACCTTACACACCTGATAACAAATTCTGGAAATGTACATGAACTAAAACAGACCTTTAAAGGTAAGATGTATGAAATT